CCCAAATCATCAGTTGTCCCCCATCGTGCTGACAGTTGGGTTGAGGTGTTTGAGCTGATTGGCTGTTTGGTTTTTGCCAAACGTTTCGCTTCACTTTGGGCTCATCTGTCCAAAAGACATTGTTCCAGGAGTTTTGTTGTTTGTTTAAATACAACTTTGCAAAGCTAAGCTGTGCAGCCATGTTCTTTTAGATAGATGAAAAACCATACTTGCTCAAGCTTTTTTTTTTAAGTGTACTCTCATGAACTTTAGCATTTAACACGTCTGTAGAGTCTGAGATGGAGCTCTTGGGTTTTTTGCAGTTTTGCAAGCTGACCTTGGGCAGTGTTTTTGTCCACTCCTGGGAAGATTAGCAGTTGACATGAATGTTTCCCACTTGTGAATAATCTTTCTCCTGCAAAATGATGGACTTTGCATTCTCTTATAACCTTTCCCAGGTTTATGGGCAGTAACTGCTGGTGTCTGTTAACAAACCTGAATGCTTCAGGCGGGCAAACTGCCAAAACCTCTGTTTTCAGAGTTGCTCGCATTAATGGTCAATGAATCAAATGCATTTGATTTGCAGTTACTTGTCCTCTTAATTGCTCTGGAAGCAGTGAGAGTGCTCTAATATTTCCACACAGTTTCTGTTTGGCATAGATTTAGGTAAATAAATAAGCACATGGTGTAATATAGTTTGTTCAACTGAAGTTGCATTTACTTAATTTTAAGACCTGATAATGACCAGGTTTCATTGTCTTCTGATATGTAAAACCTTACGAGTTAAAGAAGGTGTGCTTTCCTTTATACAACATAAAAACAATATTTTAGGGATGATTTCAGTTTCGTATGTTTCTTTTGCAATAATATTTATCTGTCCAATGACAGGAAGTGTAAAATGAGACGGTAACAGTGAGTGATCTGAAGTGGAAGCGGAGAGAGGGATGGGGCCAGGCTGAGCAGCAGGATCCAAACACCCCTGCAGCAGAAGTGTCATGAAAAGATGATCTCCCATCCTCACCTCGCAACAGAGCTGTCAAGATGTTCAGACCTGCGATTTAACCTCCCAGCTTCACACTGTTACATCCTACTGACACACACTCACATGGAAACTCTAAGCCACAATGGCTTCGCCGCTTTCAAGCGACCAGTAGCAATGTCATAGAAAAGCCTGCACAGCATTAGCAATAATCCAGTAATTAGAGGCTACGCACATGAAGCGCCATTACTCTGTTTAACGAATGTTTAACTTAAAGCTTAACAAGAGAAATGGAAAAGAGAAATATGCAAGTACTGGAGGCTTTTTTAAAATCACAAATGTGGTTGTGTATATTTAGAAAATGTCCCTGTCTTATCTGTGGGGTTTAAAGGAAGCAGAAGCTTTATGTGAATGTTGCATTGCAGGGACAATAGGTGTGCCAGGGAGCGCGGGGAGAAGTGTGGAGGTGACTGCTCCGAGCGTAATGTCAAAAAAATTAACATGAATTGAACAGCAAAGTGACACCTGAGAGACATTTGGCAAGAGCGGTGTGCTGCGGCACAGCACTCCACTGAACAGCAGACAGAACGGGAAGCAATTCAATAAGCGGGAACTCACACACACACATCCCCCGCTGCATTGTCGTATTTAAAAAAGCTGCGAGGATCAGCGTGATGTAAAAAGAATAAAAGAGGCGGCGATGTTTTTTCAACATTTCTTTTACTGAGCTTTACACTTGTCACAGAACATCACACAAAATTACCAGAGCAGGCTTGCTCTTTTGTTATTTTTAATAAGACAATGCAGTTACATGTTCTCGATTCACACAAAAACATCGCTCCGTCTTCCATTTTTGAGATTACCGCTGATAGTGAATGGGTTTCGGTGTTTTAAATTCCCTTTTTTTCCGGTTGAATGTGGGTGACTCTACCTAACAATGTAAATGTATCTATCCAAATCCTTTGGGCCTTAAGGTTATTATCATGGGGAAAAGGAAATTACAACAACTGGATATTTTATGTCCATTTTTTAACAGCTTTGGCTTCAGTTTCTGATCCTTAGAATTTGCAAACGAGACACAGCAACAAACAAGACCCCCACGATTAGTCTCCCAACTGTGAGAGCTGCTTCGGTGCAGTGCCTGTCCTTAGTTTTGAATCAAGTGTATGTATTTAACATTGGCCTGACATTTTTCTCCCCAATCAATGTGCTTTGAGTACATT